TGTACAATTTTACTCTACTATAATTATGTCCTCCAAAGGGGCTGCATGCATCATTCTTATGCCGTCCAACAACAATATTAGAAGTCCTGTCTACTTCAGAGAGTATTGCTCCAACACCATGTGAGTTTTACAAAATCTTGTCATGCAAGCACTTCTGCCACATGCAAAACAGGTCATCCAACAGACCCAGCTGTACTCACAGCTGGGACAAACCCAAGTCAGAAGAGCCAAGTTTTGGCACCTCAGCCAGAGCATTCACAGGCTAGAACTGCTCCTTCACAAAGGTCAAAAGGAGGACAGACTCATTCCCAGTGTAATTCAAACCAGCATTTCGAGCAGACACAGCTGAAAGGATGCCTGCGATCCAGCCTTTATATAGCACAAACCTGAAAACACTAGGTAGCAGGAGCAGATATAACCCAAGTTTTTCAAACATGGCCGTACAAGCTGGCAAAGTAAGTCAAGAGAAACTCCCAGGTAAATAAATTTGCTCCTGCAAATCCCACAACTGCCAAGTCCTGCTCTCAGTTAGTCAGCAGTTTCCAGTACTTGAATGCTGACCAGAAGGTAATCTACCTAAAAGAGTAATCTCTGTGCTTGGCATACAGGTTTTAGAAAATGCTGATACATTTGTAATCAAATCAAAGATGTTCTTTATTCATTAACACTGGAAAAGCACTCCATCCACACAAAGATAATAGGTGTCCTAAAAATATTAGACTATAAAAATTACAAGTGGAAACAGCACTAAATGTAAGTATTTTTGTTCTCAAATAACTGCAACTTCAGTAAAATCATCTTCTAAACGTTAACTTAGGTGGGAAGATAGATTGAGACAAATATTTCCCATCAATAATGACATTAAAAATAACTGCTTTTTTTATAATGCTTGATTTCAAAATATCCAGTGTTACACATTATTTTAAACTGAGGTTGTCAAGATACTGCATAAGCAAGACAGATACACATCCTTTATAAACAATACCCATGCAGCTTTCAGAACAGAAGTGTAATATATTCCTTTAAAAGTCTCAGTTTTGTGTTTTAGCTTTTAATCTCTCTCCTAAAGCATAAGTAGATAAGGCAACTCCCTATGCCACCTATTAAAATAGGGGTTTTTTTCTTCTTTTGATGATTGCTGGTATTTCATTTTTTTAAATAGTGACAAGAAATTTAAATACATGGACATCCTCCTCAAATTTCTGAATCCTTTCAGAAAAGAACCTATGGCTGACCAAGTAAATGTAAAAATATTTATGATTTTGGAAGAATAATTGCTATTCTCTCTATTTAAGAAATCAGTTATTAAGACATACTGATACCAATCCAGTCCCTTTCATCTCAATTTTACTCAGTTACGTTCCTTCTTAATAAACGCTTTCCCTTAAAGCACCGGTATTCAAGGAACTAAATAGGAAATTCCTGAAACGTGCTACTTTCCCTGCGACATCTAGAAAGGAGCAATGCCCTCTGCTGTGCCGGGCGCGGAGGTTCAGCTAAACCCGAGCGCAAGTCGCTGCCCTGCTGCCTCGGCAGGACCCGCAGCTTGGCCGAGCGACAAAGAGCCGGCACATCTCTGCTTCTCAACAAAGACCACGTTTCTGCTTACGCCACTGATCTCTGACGTGCGCCCGATAGACTGTACCCTGTCACTGTAAAGTAAAAAAGGTACCAACAGAGAAGTTTTATCATGCTGTGACTCATGGTGCAGACGGCTAGCAAAGCTAACATAGCAATAACCCGTTTCTACCAAATAATGTTTTTGCAGATGGCATAACTCATTTTTTAAAAACACTTTTAGACTATTTATAGTTCAGTGCAGGATACTATTTATTCTTATTTAGCTACTTCATTCTTACGTTTTCTTCAAACATTCGTAACTCAGCTATAAACACAGCTCAACAACCACTTCTCTACCCATATCAACAAAAATCACCCCCTTCCCCTAAAAGGCAAGGTTTCCTATTTTGCTAAGCAGGCAGCTTCAATCTGCAAATAAAGGTAACACCTAGAGCATTTCCTGTCCTTCTGAAACATTTCTTTAAGCAATTCCACAGAGCATAAAATAACATTAAACGTCTTTTATTTTGTTCAGTTTGGAATGCAAAACTCAGACACTGTAAAAATGCAGAAGGAAAAAGCAGAAAGCAGCTGCCTGCTGTAGGCAAAAGTAAACACCATGTGGGTTTATGAGAATATTCTGCTTACTGAGTTGCTAACATTTTACCAATTTTAATCAACATTTAAGTACCCTCTCTATAAGTTTCACTATTTGCAAAACAGTAACAACAGAACTGTAAACTAATAAAACACAAAACCCTATGAAATTACCAACACAGCAGGCAAATGTGAAGCAAGACCAGCAGCACACATTTGGTACTGTGCCCAAAAAACTTAAAAGCTACCTAGGAAAAATATCATCATGCTTTTTGAATCATCTTAGACAAACACATGTCAACGCATCCATTTATCAAGCTTCCTAACATCTGCCTAAAATAAGGCACTGCCTACCAAATTATCACAGCATTCATCCAGTGTCAAAACTGAGAGAAAAACAACTGACATAGGAAACCAGTACAGAAACATCCTCAAACCTCTCCCCCAGTCCCTAAAGAAACAAACACTAAGGACCCAAATAACATCACTGCTCTTACAGGGTTTAAGTACACAAAAGCCAGGCAGTGCTTTGTACCTGTCAATTTGCCAGCAGAGATAAGGAACAAAGCTCTCCTCTGGATGAGGCTCAGGTAAGGGATAGGCAGAACCACATTCCTCCAGTTTGAAAGAGCAGATCCTGAAGATGCACGGCACCCCAAAAAGGGACTGCAGCTACCACCACCGCACTGTCTCCCGAGGATGGTGTGTTGTCCCCCTTCAAAGGATTTTCTCAAAAGGTCTTCTAATGCTCTGAGTTTTTCCAGCAGAATTCAGTACCTAATTACAACCCAGCTTTATGCCACATTAGCATCAGGGTTCCTCACAGCTGTAGAAAGTTTATATACCAAATAAAACACTTCCTAGAAATCAAAAATCAGTTAAAATTGGTAAAAATGTGATTTCAAGAAAATAACACAGAACCAGCAGTTTACATTGTTGGGATATCAGGTCAAGTATTGGGACATCAGCAGGAAAAGCTCTATATGTTTTACCCACTCACACCAATTCTCTCAAAAGTTTCATTCACTCACATTCTCATAGCCACAGACTCACGAGTGTGTACCAAAGTGGTCTGGGCAGGATTATTTGGGTGCAACACCAAGGACGAAAGACGCCAGCTATCAAGGCCTCATCACATCTCTTAAGATTCCTCCTGTTTGGCAACGATGAACCAGCTTTTGCACAAATTTTTTATACCCTTCAGTAATTAACAGCTGTTTACAGGGTGGTCCTTTGCTCCAGAATCTCACTGCAGCATCAATAAACAGCAGACTGCTGCTCACTATCTCTCCATGCTTGTTTTCATGGTGGAGTAACAGGAAAACTAATGGCACATAAGATGATACAAGCCTGTCGCCCTCCTCATGTTGTTTAGAATCAGGGTCTGCTTTTGACAAATCAAGTGTGATACAGGCTTAACAGAGTGAAGGCCTTCACAATAAGGTATTAAGCCTCAATTTTAATCCCAAGAACAGCATCATAGAATCATTTAGGTTGGAAAAGACCTTTAATACCATTGATTCCAAATGTTAACCCAACACTGCCAAGTCCACAACTAAACCATGTCCCTGAGCACCACATCTACACATCATTTAAATACCTCCAGGGATGGTGACTCAACCACTTCCCTGGAAAGCCTGTTCTAATGCTTGACAATTTTTTCTAATATACACTATAAACCTCCCTGGTGCAACCTGAGGCCATTTCCTTTTGTTCTATCAGTTGTTACTTGGGAGACTAAGACCCACCTCACTACAACCTCCTTTCAGGTAGCTGTAGAGAGCAATGAGGTCTCCCCTGAGCCTCCTTTTCTCCAGGCTAAACAACCCCAGATCCCTCAGCCACTCCCCAGAAGTCTGGTGCTCTGGTTTTTCACAATAACATACACTATTCTTTCAACCCCTGCCCTGCTGTTTCTTTTGACACCTTTGCACACACGTTTCATGCAAATCAGCCTTCATATTTCCACTACAAGTCTCTAGGGTACTAGCCTAGGTATTTGATCTCATCTGCTAAACAATTTAAAATTTTCCACATCCTCCCTGCCTGCCTGTAAAAGCCAGAATACAGTTTTGCCCACAGAGCTGAACCTTGCATTCTACACACCTATATTAGATTTTTGTAGGAGCATGTTTAAGAAAAGCGCAAAAACTGCCTGCATTTCTGTAGGATATTCACTACGCAGGGTGAAGCGATGATAAGAGAAACAATAGGCAAAAACAGCCAGGTGCGCAAACAGAAGGGCTGTGCACGCAGTCGGTATTTCAAGAAGGTAAAGTGAAGCGAGAGGGAAGCCTGCACCCCAAGAGGCAGAAGAGGGCGGTAGCAGCCCGTGAGGACGCGCTGCAGGGGCGGCTCTGCCGAGGCAGCCGGGCCAGAACCGCCC